AGGGGGGAGGGTATCATTTTCCTTTTTACTGCGTCACCTGTCGCGTTTGTTTTTGCGAGCGCCATTTATCCGAATTTATGGAGCCTTGTTGTCTTTTTTTTTGCCCCCCCACTTGCTCATGGATGGGGTTTAAGAAACACCCTAACTAAAAATATGAGAGCGTTGGTGGTAATCTAAGTTACTTTTATGTTCTGACTCTTTCAAGTCATCTGATTTCAATTTATTTATTTCCATGCTCGAATGCACGGATGGGTTTGTGCTGTGTACAGATAACACTAAGCATTCCATATGCGCTGATGGGGGAATTCACTGCAGAGGAAGGTGGTGGACAAGGTATGTGCTTGTTTCAGGAGATCGGGACCATTTATGTGATTTGACTTTTTCTGTGGTTTGAGGACAGTTTGACCCGTTAAAAAGTTAAATTTTGATTTACTTTGAAAGGGCGATGGTCTTGAGATATCTGTGCTTACGTTGTTGACCACCGGGTACTTCCTAGGAGTTGGTGCCTTCTTTTGGTTATGAAGATGATGAACAGCTTCCTTGTTGGGTGGCGGCCATAGCTATCTGAAGAAGAGGACTGCAGAGGGAGGACAGAGGCCAGCATTCATTTTCCGAGAGTTCATTCCGTTGGCGCTTGTGCTATGGAGATAGAGTGTGCGGCACGGGAGTTGGTGGGTCACAGCACGAACGTGGCAGTGTGAAACCAGGACCACGTCCAAGAAAGTGGCAGTGTGAAGCCAGGAAGGATTCTATGCGCCTCACTCCAACTCCAACACTCACCGGCGGCCGCGCTCCACACAAGCGCAAAAGACCGAAAATACGGCGTTGTATCTTTCCATGTTCTAGCAGAAGGTTGATTCTCATTTTGCAAATTTGGTGAGGAGTGGAGCAAGGTCCCAAGTCGGGAAAAGGAGTGAATCTCCGGCTAGAAGATGGAAAGAAAGAAACAACGCCACATTTTTTTCTCCGGCTAGAAGATGGAAAGAAAGAAACAACGCCACATTTTTTTCTCCGGCTAGAAGATGGAAAGAAAGAAACAACGCCACATTTTTTTCCTTTTTCTGGGTGTGATGGTCAGTGGAATGAGACCCTCCGCCAGTGGCCAGAACTGAGCCTACTCAGCCTGGAATACCCCCCCCCCCCCTCCCCTTGTGTCCGTGAACTTGTTCTACTGAACTCGGATATAAGGTATATGCGAATTGAACGAATACAATGCAACCTATACAACGCATATGCGTAATGTTCGGGGGAAGATGGTAGTTTTCTAGTATCTGACCTCTCTTATATCTATTTTTCTGACTTTGCTCATGAACAATTTTCATGCGTGCTCTCCGTGGTCGGCATGGTGCAGGTCTGTCAATGGGGATTCTCAACTTGGCCATCGTTCTTCCACAGGTTAGCGCTGTCTCCATCTCTAGCTATGTATGGCTTACCTTCCCTTGCAACATCTCCCTGGTCTGATACCTCGGCCCTTGAACGGGAGTTATCCGATAACGGCAGTACACTAAGTTGAATGTTCTCCTATTCAAATAAAAATATAAAATATTAGAAATCACTTTGTGAGAATCTCTCGTTTCGATACAAAATCTAAACAGTTATCGAAGAACAAACCCTGAACTGAACGCAGGTCGAGCCCGACGGCATCCACTCCTCTTCCCATCTCCCGTTCTCCTCTACTCCCTCTCTCTTGCAACCTGGCGAGCAAACCGGTTCGTCTGCGGCTTGTTGTGGAGACATTGTGATCTTTCGTGTTCATTGCAAAATTTCAAACAAGGACAGCTATATGTCTCACACATCTGCACAAAGCACCAAAAATCTCAGTGGAGAGTGCTAAGCTCACTAAGAACCAAGGTTGCATGGGACTCCCGGCATGGGCATTCGGGCAAGTGGCCTAGCCGTGGACCCACCTAGGTCACCTCAGGCAGCTCATAAACTTGGAGTTTTTTTTTCCGTTCTTTTGTAGCGCCAGTGGGGCGGTTCTGCACCCTCCAAGATCAGCCTAAACCTGGGCCCTTTTGTGTTTTTCAGTGTTGTTTGGTGGTGCAGTGGGGGATCGGGGGAGGGGGCGCTCCGTTCGACTGTCTTTCTTTTTTTTGTCTTTCTTTGATTCAACAAGGAATTCTGAGGTGAAGTCCAGCCAAAAGTTGTTCGCATTGCAGTTCTACGCACCCAACATACTTTTTCCAGAATAAGAAATATATCGTCCTTCTAAACTCTGGGGCTGCCCGCCACCTGGCCGGGACCTTGTCCGGCTGTGCCACCCAGGCTGACAGCGGCAGCTCGCGCGCCCAGCCTGGTATCCAAGCTGAAAAGTTGTGAAGTGAGAAACAGCAAAACCCAGGGCTAACAAATATACTAAAATCTTCAAAGGTGCTAGGGTTTAGGGTTCTACCAGACTATAGTCTCCCCCCCCAATAGAACGTACAGTCATTATGGCTGAATTTGGGGTATCTTTCAGTCTAAGTACAGCTATAATGGCCGTACGTTGTATTCGGGGGAAGAAGGTAGCCAGGGCGCAACAGTTAGTTCAGAAGGTCAGACTAGGACCAGGGCTCTAACAGGTCTACTAAAAAGGGAACACATAGAAGCCCAGTACTTTTCTAACGATCCAAGTAATCCTGACAGCGCCGTAGCTGAGAGGAGCAAGTGGGGCCCACCTCAATCAGGGTCTCAGATACAAGTCCAGCCAGCAGAACAAGAGTCCCCAGAGCAAACCAACACTACTGTCTTCTCCCGAACACAACGCACCCTCATTCTGACTGTATCTGGCCGGAAACATACCATGTATACTTTCCTTTTCAGGGTGCGTTATGTTCGGGGGAAGACGGTAGAGTTGTAGGGCTTAGGCAGAGAAAGCCAAGGTAATGATGAATTGAGGGCATAAAAAAAAAGAGACCAGGAATAGGGAAGCAGCTAGGTCTCAAGTACAACAAGAGCCTAATTTAGGCAGGGGTGAGGGGTGGTACATCCTTCCTAACGGAGGTAATCAATGCTGTCCATTCAGGCCTCCAACCATAATGGGGAGGGGCATGCGTGAGTTCTCATTGTATTCCTTTTTCACTTTTTTTTTTGTTTTTTTGTTTTTTTAACTTTTTTTGTTTTTGTTTTCCTTTTTCACATGTCGGTGGAATAGGAACCGGACTGACGCTCCCCAGAATGGACAAGGAGCCAGAACCGGAAGGTTCTGTTTTTTTTTTTTTTTTTTTTTTTTTTTTTTTTAGAGAAATCAGAACCTCACGGTTCTGGCTCCTACCATTTTGGGGAGCAACAGTCCGATTCCTATTCCCCCGGCAAGTCGATAATGAATACATTAAGGAAACACGCACGCTCCTCCTCATTAAGGTTGAGAGGACCAAGCGGGTGGCATTGATTACTTCCCTGAGGAAGGATGTACCACCCCTCACCCCTGCCTACGTTAGCCTATTTCAGTTAACGCTTGGACTACGGTGACTCCTCACTCTTGGCCCCTTCTCTTGTGTATCCGTCTAAGTAATGTGGTAACCGAGAGCGAGAGTGAGGAGTTGGCGTCTACAGGCTGTGTTGAAGCTTGTTCCTGTCGGGGGTTATTCCCTGCAGGCAACTGTTCCTGATCTGTTCTTTTGTGTAGACCTTAAAAACGTCGTCTGGGTACCTGGTCTAAGGCCCAATTTTTCCTAGTTAATCCTGTCTTCTCTGAACAATTTCTCTAGGGGTTTTGAGGGTCTTTTGTGCATCGTTCCTAAACCCTAAACCCTAAACTCCTTGCCTATTCCTCTCCTCCGGGTTCTGGCTACCTGTTCATATTAGGACTGTGCCTTTGCTTTTTCCACGGCTTGGCGGGGAGGTGGTCATATTTTGGGAATTGGTGTTGTCGATCTGTGTCCTTTGTGGGAGTCTGTGCTGGCACTTCGCTCTTTATCTCTCACCTATTGATATATCCGCAAGGTGAGTCCTACTTCTAGAGGCTTCTATCCCTTGCCTCCTTAGTTGGGTGTGTCGCCATTGAGCGAAGTGCAGTTTGTCCTGTTCTATTCTAGCAGTCCTACGTTCTCCTAACTGATGTTTTACAAAAAAAATTATTATTTTGTCCTTGTTTGTGATATTCTCTTCTATTTTCCTGCAGGTTCTTTTCCACTGTTCTCCATACTCGACCTCTATTAGTTGCAAAACTCCTTCCCAAGCTTCTTGGGGTGCCATGGCTGAGTGATCAATCGTTGCTTGGCACCTGTGCTTCCAAATCATCCATAAGGTCGCAAATGTAAATCCTGCCATGAGTTGTGAGTGTGTAAGCCAAGTAAGAGAGAGACCTGATCGGATGGCATTGTTTTGTCAGTAATTGAGAGCCAAAGTCGGAAGGCATGTGTCCATAACTGTTTCGCTTTTTGGCAGTCTAGCAAACAGTGTTCTATATCTTCCGGCAGTCCCCTCTGGCAAATAGCACATAGTTCTTGCATAGGGGATCTCAAGTGTGCATTCCTTCTCTTGTTCAACCATTTGTTAACTGGGAGAGCCCGATGGGCAAGTAGCCATATGAAGCTTCCTATATCTTGACGGAGGTGATGGCAAGTAGTCTACCCCAGGAGGTGATGAGGGTTTGGTTTGGCGGCAGATTGAGGTGGGTTTCCCATCTTTGGTTGATGATTTGGGCTATTGAGACCGATCTCATTCGTAGGGTATATCCCAGCTCAGTGGAATATTCTAGGATGTTGTTACGTTTCTCTACTCCTAATCTGTCTGACTTCCTCTTCCAAGCCCATTCTGCCGGGTCGACTTCCAAGTCTGCGATGTCCACTGGAGGTTCATATATGTGTCGTTCCTTAGTTTCTACCACTACTTTCCTCATTGGTTGTTCTGTAATGGCGTTTCCACTCGCATGTGCCCTTCAGTAGCTCATGCCACCTCTCTGGTACTGCGATTAGGATGTTCAGGTTAGCTTGTAGATTGTGGCATCCCCTCAAGGTTTCCCTTAGTTCTCCTACCCCCCATTTTGTATCCTTTGTGGTTAGGGTCCATGGTCTCCCTTGTGGGTCCAGCAGAGCTTCGTTACAGAAGATCGGTTGCCTGAGGACTTCTTCTTTAGTTGTCGGTTCTCTCACTTTGGCTGGTACAATTTCCCTCCATGCTTTCAATAGTTGCCTCCAAAAGTCCTCCCCTTGTTCTTCTTTCTGGTCTCCTTGGTGTTCTGCTTGCGCCCTGCCCTTCATAGCCCAGGACTTACTCATGATCCATAAGAGACCGCGCATGTGGTCAGGGGTTTTGTATTTGGCTATTTGTTGTATTCTGCGGAGGCCTAGCTTGCTCCAAGGTAGGTTGATATTGGCTATCATTTTGATGATCCACTTCGTTTGAAGGGCTTGGATTTGAGTTTCCGGGTCCTGGGATTCCCAATCCTCCTTGCGATCTCTTCAGGGTGACGTACTTCCATGCCACTTTAGAGATGTTGTCCCTAGATGGGTCGCCAAACCACAAATAGGCGGCCACCCTTCTTCTGAGTTGAGATCTTCGCAGCTTAGGTGGGCTCCAAATCGTGGCAGCGTACCACATCATTGTGAAAATTGATGCATTAAGGATCAGAGCTCTGCCAGATATTGAGGTGTAGACATTGGACCAACTGCCCAATTTAGCAATCATCTTGTTCATTATGGCAGTCGCCATTGTTGGGTTAGTGCCCTGCTTGGGAACTTGGATTCCTAGGAATCTGAGGGGTTCGTTGCCACGTGACCAGTTCATTCCTACCGGTGTACTTTGAGGGGGGTCAATTTGTGGGTACCAGCCTATTGTTTTGGGCTAGTTAATGCTCATTTCTGATGCAATTTGGAAAGCTTGCATTGCCCGACTGAGAGCTTGAAAGGAGGAGTCTGAGGCTCGTATTAGCACTGTCAAATCGTCCGCTCCTGATGTCAAACGGTAATCTATTCGGGATGCTGAGATGTGCCGACTTCTATTCCTTTTTAGGTATATACACAGTTTTTCTACAGCTAAAGAATAAGCATGTTCCTGTGCCATCATAGAAACATAATCTGTCTGGGTGTAAAACTCTGAATGGATCTATTAGATCCTTTTCCATCATCAGCTCGTGGATGGGCAGGGCTTCACTCCACGTGGCTTGTGTTGTCCCTGATGCCAGTCCAGTGCCGCGTTCCAGTCCTCTGCCAGTACAAGTTGCATATTGGAATCGCACCTTGGTAGGAGGTCTGCAATTAGTCTGGATCTTTGGTTCAGAGTATTCGGGGCATAGACTGTTAGCAGCCTAAACTTATCTTCGTGTGTTTGAAAGTCTACGCTAGCCTATCTTCCTTCTTCTGTATCTGTGCTTGATCTGGTCCTAATAACCGTGTTCGATGCTCTAGATTTAGCGTGCATGAGGATGGCCACGCCTGCTGAATTGGGGCGCGGTGACGGGGCCCAGATTTACTTCTTTTACCCATTTCAGTTTTCTTATTATATGAGCTTGAGTTCTTCGGTGTTCCTCGGAGACAGTTAGGTGAGTCTCCTGGATGCATAGAAGGTCAGGTGAGGATCGGCCGAACCAGTCCTTGCCCTTGATTAGGTAATCCCATTTCCTCTGGTTGGTAAGTATAGAGGACATCCCGATAACATTCCATTATATGATTATAAGGTCCGGTTCAGGCTTGCGAAGACCGAATTTTCTGCGAACCCGGGGTCTTAACCCTTCTCTTTCCTGACCCGCCATTGCCGTAAATCACTTTTGAACCCCACTGAACGGTGTGAGGGGCTGATGTCTAGGAGCCGGTGGTTGCTATGTCCCTCCTAGTAGAGGCAGATCCCTGCAGCTTTTGCCTGAGGCTTCTGGGGGACAATGTGAACAGACCATGTGCTGTAACTAGTGTGCTGCTCAAGGCAGCCCTCTCTGACACTTCTCTCCCTAATAAGCCATATGGCAACCGAAAGGTTCTGTTTTTTTTTTGTTTTTTTTTTTTTTAATCTTTTGGAGGGTATCAGGAAATAAGAAGAGTGAAGGTTATGGAAGGGCCTTTCCCCTTCTTTGGCTATTGAGAAGAAGGGAGCTGTGTTATGATCCTGGCCAATTTGGAAGGACACATTCATCGGATAGTACAATGCCGTCCAATTGCAGAAAGAAATGAATGAATTTGAGAGGAGAGAGAAGGTAAGAAGAAGAAGAAGAAGAAGAAGAAAGAAAGAAGAAGAAGATGATGTACACTAGCATAGACAAATGATAAAGCTCTTCTTCTTCGCCAAACACTCTCCTCCTACTTTACTCCTCTCTTATTCACACAAGAAATAATAGTACAATGTTGAATGGCTGAACCAGAATCAATGTCCGAATCCCTCTTCTACTGCAGGTATCACTTGAGGTCTACCATAGCCATGGCCGCCTCCCTCACTCTTCACTCTCATAGGCCGAGGCTATGGCGGAGTACTGGGCCTTGTCCTGATGCCCAAAGGACAACCCAAAGCAGCTATGGCTGCTCTAGCTCAGGGTGCCATGCCTGACTCTGCCTCGAAGCTTCTTGGTGTAGCTCTACCCCAGCTGGGGTCTTCCTGCTGCAGCGCCCACCAAGGTGATGAAAATGGCTGCCACCATAGCCAGGTAAGTACCTCTGGCGCTCCCCCTCCTCCTGCTCTTCTTCCTCCTCCATGTCCTTGCTCCTTCCCCAGCAGTGCTGCTCTTGCTAGCGCTGCTCCAGCCAGAGCTCCAGGCAGTGTGTCACCAAACTTGCACACTGACAATGAGGCTGGGCTCTTCGCCCGGCCTGGAGATATAGCAGCCTGCTTGCCTCTTGGGCGGTGACTTCCAGGCCGCTTCGCCTTCCAAGCAACCGGTACCCCCTCCCTTTCAAAGGGAAACATCATTGCAGAGTCTGATATTGCCCATACATGCCCTAGACTCAGACTGGTTGGACTGGTACCCGCCTAGACCTAGCCTACGACTACTGGGCCTCTCAAAATGCCACTTTCGTCTTCTTCTGCATGGCTTCCAGTACCCGGCACATCTACCTCTTCAGGGTGTGGTACCGGCCTACCTGCTACTTGAGTGTTTCCCCGCTGCTTCAAGTGTTGCGGGCCTCTTCCCCCGCCACTTGAGTGTTTTCCCTGCTGCAGACCTCCATGTCACGGCCACAGGTAAGTACCGGCCCTGAGGGCCCAACGAACGAACAAGTGCCCTTGCGGGTCGCACACACACTCAAGCCAACCAGCACTCAGACAGTCATGCAGACCAGCAAGCGTGCACACACACAGACATGCAGAACTTAGTAGCAAGCGGGAAAGTCAGCAAGGCATTCAGTCAATGAACAAAACTCAGAAATCAACTGTGTGTCTCAGTCCGTGTTTGGTCGGGTCATCACAGCTGTGTTTATGAGGTGTGCATGATATGTGATGTTGAGATCCTGCCTAGACACATAGATGTCAGCAGCTACATGACAGCATGTGCACATCAACTGCATGGTCATAGAACTGGTGCATAATTCTCTTCACTAAGCTCATTGCCCAGAAGCCCGTATCATAATATCATATTTATGCCCGTTTGTTGTCATTGTGTCCTCATTGTTCAACAAACTTCAAATGTTCATCTGAAGACCACATGTTGCTGTGATTGCAGTGTCCTTGATGATTATGTAACATTTATTCTTTCCATAATAATTCACCTCATCACTGTTCTCATTATTTAAATTTATTTTAATGCCACTGCCTGGCATGTCGTTGGTCGTAGTAGTTGGCCGCTTTCTGATTGCGAGCCTCCCCATCATTACGATGTTGAGTTTCACGTGATTGATTTAAAAAAAACAAGGGGATGCCTGCCGCGGATGCGGCGGGGACCATGAGGGGGGG